TAATCCTAAGAATTTAGTAGTGTCAACATTATCAATAACAAAGTTATTCATTTTTACTAAAATGTTTGAATTTTTTTTTGCGCCTTTTGTGAAAAAATATGTATTTAGTTTTGGTAGAATTAACTATAAGCCTATTATTTGAGCACCATCCATAAAATTGTTGAAAAGTCAAACTTACTTTCTCTTGCAGTTCATCAGGTGATGAAGCAGTAATGCAGATTGTTGTATCATCTGCATATAATACAACGTTGACATTCTCTGTGAAAGATTGATCCATGTCATTAACAAACAAAATAAAAAGTAATGGAGATAACACACTCCCTTGTGAGACCCCTAGGTTAATTTGTTTTGGATTTGAAAAATTATCGTTTATTTTTACTATGACTTTTTGGTCTGACAGAAAGGAGTACATCCAAACGTTTATCGGTTGCCTTATACCCAAATTAATTAATTTTCTTATTAAAAAATCCTTACTTGCAAAATCGAAAGCTTTCGTCAGGTCGAAAACAAGAGTTATCACATATAGGTTTTTATCAAGTGAATCATAAATGTGGTTTATTAATAAGAACGCGGCCGTGTTTTTTTAATATTTAGGTTGAAAACACAGAAACAGGTACTTGAAAGACCTTTTTTATTGATAAAATTATAAATCCGACTATGTACTATTTTCTCAAAAAGTTTTGAGAAACAGGATAATAGAGTTATAGGTCTATAGTATTCAATAAGATCAGCTTCTCCGTTTTTGTGAAGTGGTATTATATTTGAGACTTTAAGAGCATATAGAAAAATTCCAGACCGAATTGACAAATTAAACACCAAACATAAAGGGTGTACTATACAGTGCATCCCAGAAGTAACGCAAAAAATTCATATTTTATTTTGTGTTGAGTTTTCACAAAAACGCTAAAACACGTCAATTAGTAAATTAGAATTGTTGTTTTGTCAAGTTGCTTAAACCTTTTTTGCGCTATGTTTCATAAACCTATGACGTCATCAACATTTTTTTTAAATAGCACCACCTAATTTTTTAAACATAAATGGATAGCCCTCTTGAAGGGAAATGCGTCGATATAGGGTTTGGCCTACTTTAGTTTGACAGGAGCGAAAAAAAGCCAACGATTGGAATGAACATGGTTTGAATTAATAACAAAAATAGGTATCACAAACTTATGCGCGAACAGTGCTATAGCAAAAAATCTGTTTTGGTTGATTGTTGGCACATTTTTATGTAGATTGGGTAGGTACACCCCATCACAGTGGCTATGTAGGCATTGTTCTGAAGACGAGTTAGCGAATGCAATAGTGCCTCATATCATTGTCACAGTTACAAATACCATAACTTTACATTACGGTGGTGTTGTTTAAATGAGAAACAAAGAACTGAAATCCTAATTATGGTTGAATACGGAGATATAGGATCCGTAGTTATGATGAAATATGTCAATTATTCAATGCCAAGTACCAGAACAACCAATACCTCCGTGTACAGTATGCAGATTAGTACCCAAATTTGAAGACGCTGGCCATGTTAGAAATGTGTCTAGATCTAGAAGGCCAACGACAGTGACAGAAAATGATAGGCAAAATGTTATGTTTAGCTGTCACTGAAAATCCACACATTGCTATTCGTCGTATCGCCGCAAACGCCAACATATCAGTACATAAAAACGTACCTACAATCAACCAAAACACAAAACATCCCCAAATTTCCATTTTATACTGTGGCACTGTTCTCGCATCAGTTTATGATACCTACTTTTGTTGTTATTTTAAACCATGTCCATTCCAGTCATTGGCTTTTTTTTCCACTCCTGTCAAAGTAAAGTAAGCCAAATCCTATATCGACGTATTTCCCTTCAAAAGGACTACCCATTTATGCTTAAAAAATTATGTGGTGCTATTTAAAAAAAATGTCGATGACGTCATAGATTTATGAAACATAGCGCAAAAAAAGTTTAAGCAATGTGACAAAACGACAATTCTAATTTACTAATTGACGTGTTTTAGCGTTTTTGTGAAAACTCAACACAAAATAAAATATGAATTTTTTGCGTTACTTCTGGGACGCACTGTATATTGAGAAATATACTTTAAGACTTTTATTGGCGAGCTGTCCGGCCCACTTGAAGACTTATTTTTCATTTGTGACAAATGATTTTCAATTTCTTCTGCTGTTATACCATGGAAAAAGAGTGATGCCAAACAATGTTTGCATTTGTACAAAAATTACTCAGGGAGGCAGAGTATGTTCCATTTAACGAGTTTTGCGCTACCTTTGAAAAGTAGGTGCAGAAAGTATTACATATTTTAAAATGACCTGTTATTATCTTGTTGTCTTTTGTTATTTGAGTTATATTAGTAATATTCCGGGTTCTATCTATATTACAGTTAACGATATTCCAAACATGTTTAGCAATATTAGACGAATCTTTTAGTTTGTTCTGATAGAAATTTTGTTTTTTTTGCCTTGAGATTTACAGAATAATTCTGTTTTGCTATCCTGTATAGTTCTAATATTGTTGGGTCTTTCAAATTTTTTGATAGCCAGTACAAATTGTTTAAGTTTTGACTCTCTTCAATGATTGTTTCGTCAATCCATTTATTATTCTTTTCGCCATAATATAAATTAAATCTAGTTAAAAGGCAGGTACATTCTAAGCAGTGAAATAGGTTTTCCCAACATTTCCATGCTATATTGACGTTTACTTGAAACAGGCTACTTGTGTCTGTAGTAGACAATTTATGTTTCAAATTTAACAAATTTGAATCTGAATAAATTCTCTTATAAGAAATAGTTGCTTTGTTTACAAAATTTGGGCAAGATTGTTCAATAAATGTCGTAAAGAGCTGCGCCTTATGGTCAGATAAATTATATTCTACATTTAGACCAACAATGGCAGATTAGAAATCACGTAATCTCCCGCTGAGATGGAATTATTAAAACATCTAGTTGGTTCAACAGGAAGACATGATTTCAAATCATACCTATCAAATATGTCACACAATATTCTTTTGGAGATACTGTCTGTTAAAAGATCTATATTAATATCACCGCATATAATTACATATTTGTGGTTATTCAAGATGTTACAGATTATAACATTAAAACTTACGATCTGGAGATCGATAAAAAACTAATACTGCATATTTTTCATTGTTCACATTTAAACTTGCACCTGCACACTCACATATAAACTCATAGACATATTGTTGAGGAAGTGAGATGCGTTTACATTTTATGTCATTTTGACAGTAGATTGCAACGCCACCGTGAATGGACACTGATCTACAAAAATGGTTTACAATCCTACCCCAGAATACTAGTAACCAAAGCCTGCTCCTGGACCATCCAGTGTTCCGTAACAAACAATAGTTGGGTTTTTTCCTGATGTAGAATTTACTCCAGTTGGGGAATTTTATTTGAGATGCATTGTATGTTAATATGAATGCCTTTTAATGTGTATGGATATACTCTTGAACGATTACATATTTGGTTCTTTTGGCCGAAAAAACTGATTCAATACAACACCACTAGGCCAAATGTCTGTTCTTGTTATTTTATCCACATCAGCATATGGAATCAGAATCAGCATAATATGATATAATTTATAACACAGGGACAATATAGAATAACAACAAAGAACAAAATTTGGTAAAAATGTCATAGAATTTTCCTGTAATACTTACACAATAAAACAATACAATTACACAATCAAATTTTGTTCCAACATGAACCGGCCTTAATTCAAAATTATTGCATTTTTAAGGTGTTCACTATAAGTATTTTGTCAAGTTTCAATGTAAAATACACTAATCTACAAGTTATACCCGAGTTTTCAGTCTTTTCGGATTCATCAAGTCCTCTTAGAGCAAGTTCAAAAGCTCCACTAAACTTAATACAGCACGGTTAATGACTTTGGATAAAACACCTGTTTTTTCGTGGCATCTTGAATCAATAAGCCAAATTAAGATCAGCCTAAATGTTAATATTGCCAAATAGTGCAAATTGCATTTAGTTGTTAATATGCTTCCACCACACATGTCCAAAACTAAGGATTTAAATTACCAGTGGTTCTTTGAAGCCAAACTTATCCGACAAAGTTACCTGATTAGTAAAGTAAAAAAAGTAAAAAATATTTATTGTGCATAGTTATAAAGGCAATATACAACCTATACACAAAAGGACTAGACACAGATAACTGATAATTAGCCTACCCCTCAGAAAGTCATTAACTTACACATATTAAAAGCAATATGATTATAAAGTGTTATTAAAACAGTATAAAAAAAATATAACTTATAAATATACATACACAACACTCATACATGCTTGTGCAATACACATACAAATATGTAGTATAGTCAGACTCACACTCATACACACACGCATATTATATTAATACAAGTCAGAAATTAAAAAACTAAAACTAAAAAACAGCAGTATTTGTGGAGTTATCGTTTTCCATGACCAACTCACGAATGCGTTTCTTAATCAGAGGTGCATTACGGAGTGTTAAGTCTTGAGGCACCAGTACATTATTTAATATCATAGCTGCTAAATAGATAAATGAACGTCTAAAATACTCTATAGGTAAATGAACGTCTAAAATACTCAGTTCGATGACGCATTATTTGCAAATCGTGTAAATTACGAAGCTGACGATCATATACATCATGTCGCCAAACCAACTTCTCATAAAGATAATCAGGAGTTGTATTATGTTATTTACAAAAACACAAAAATGAACATAGCGTCTTTCACTGAGTCTTAATTTACCAAACTGTCTAATAATTCTAATTACTACTGTTTTAGTAAAATTTGAATTCGTATTGGCATTGGTTATAAAACTAAACTGTTAAATAAAAATAATAATTTTATACCTAATCTTTATAACGAATTTTAATAAAAATGTGAATTTAATTATGTGTTCTGTTATATTTGAAATAATAATGAAACAAAATATTATTTTTTACAACTCTATACCTACCTATATCTCAAAAATGAAACGTTTCTAGATATATGTTTATACGAACATTTTTTGCAAATTTAGAATCTACCACTAAATTTATTAAGCATTTTTAATTACACGCTATAAAATTAGAAACTTACAACTACAAATTCATGTCTATTTAGCATTCCATCTTTATCCTGATCAGATAAATCCCATATTTTTCCTAGTGTTTCAAATGGCAATTTTGACTCCATTAGAACATTTTTTACCTGAAACAAATGAATGCTAGGATATTTATATCAAACACATAATTAAAATCTACCTTATTACCAGGAATTAGACCATTTAAAGGTTGTAATGAATCAAATAACTTATCATATTTTTCCTTTTCTGCTGATTTAATAGTCCAGTCAACAGCAGATGGAGGTAAAGAAGTTATTAAAGGACTATTTTTAGGTGGTGGTTTTGTAGGTTTAGGTAAGGATATATCACCCTAAAAAACATAAGAATTGAATATTTTATTTTTGATAAAGAAATAATTTACCATTTTAGGTGGAGGAACATCCATAGTTACATTTGAAATATTTAAATCTTTTCCATCTTGCACTAGAGCAACTAATTTTAAAGCAACAAACATGCCTGCTTTGTCTAAAGAGCCTCTTCCATCTGGATCAGATAAATCCCATATTTTTGATAAAATTACATCGCTTAATCCAGATCTTTTAAGAAAACGGGCTGCTTCCATTCCTCCCACCGAACCAAAACCATTTGGATCCACCTAATAAATAAAACAATGAATAAGTACTTAAAAAAATTATATAATAAATAGAAATAAAAATGTATTTATAGAGTACACCAAATTCAATAGAATTTCGGATTATTCCAGATTTTCCACATCCAACATTTTAGAGTCCAATTTTCAAAGCATATCTAGCCATCAAATTGGTTCTTGATATTTATATATCTTCAACATTTTTGTTGGATTTAAAAATGAAAGTGGTTTATATGAAATTTTTGGGCAGATAATTAATTATCTGCCCAAAAATTTAGTTTAGTGTTTTAATAAATTTTATAGTTATGGAACTACTTATAAAGCAAAAATGTGTAACGTGGTTGTTACTTTCTAGTGAGGGTGGGTACGATTTTCAAGAATATATTGCTCCAAAACTCATGCACCCACTGAAAAAACTTTATTAACAAACACTCAAACTACACCAGGAAAATTAGCGAAAATAAAAGAGAAACTCGGAAAAAGTCCTATCCGCTAGATTATTGTAAAATTGTCTAAAGGAACATAATACAAGACATCTGTCGTCTCGTGAGTCAAAAACTTTTATTAGCTAACTTTTCTATTTAAACAAATAAGTGAGGAAAACAGTTTTTTCACTTTGCAGGGAAAACCATCAATTTTAGCGAAAAGTGACTCCCAGACAGCTTATAGGGAGTAAAATTATTTACAAAATGATACTGCTTAAATTAAAATCGGTTAATAAACAAAAAAGTTATTGCAAAAAAA